TGCCATTCATCCCACCTACTGACCCTGTACTTGAGGACAATCTGTCGTCCCTAGCTTCGGCCTCCGACAAGATCCACAAGACCACCCCACTAATACCAAATCTCCATGCCATTTATCCCACCTACTGACCCTGTACTTGAGGACAATCTGTCGTCCCTAGCTTCGGCCTCCGACAAGATCCACAAGACCACCCCACTAATACCAAATCTCCATGCCATTTATCCCACCTACTGACCCTGTACTTGAGGACAATCTGTCGTCCCTAGCTTCGGCCTCCGACAAGATCCACAAGACCACCCTACTAATACCAAATCTTCATGCCATTCATCCCACATACTGACCCTGTACTTGAGGACAATCTGTCGTCCCTAGCTTCGGCCTCCGACAAGATCCACAAGACCACCCTACTAATACCAAATCTTCATGCCATTTATCTCACCTACTGACCCTGTACTTGAGGACAATCTGTCGTCCCTAGCTTCGGCCTCCGACAAGATCCACAAGACCACCCTACTAATACCAAAGCCTCATCATCTCATCATCCAAAAAAAAAAAACCTTAGGTCCGCCATGTTTCCTTCCCGTCATGCTAAGAAAATTACATTGAACTTCAATTGCAAGTGCTAAACACAATCAGCGTATATTACGCCAAAGCCATCGCCTCTATACACTCCTGCCAAAATGAACACACAACCAGGTAGGCTTTCAGTTACTGCTCTTTCCAAACATACCGCTAGGCGTCGTCCTTACACTGTGGCCCGGTGACAGGTCCCACAATGCACTTCACTCAACTTTGGCCTGCCCCATTGCATGACGGGACAAAACAAAATGGCGGCGCCCATAAAATCGAGGTAACGTAAAACAGGTTCACGCTATCGCGAACCTGTAAACATTCCATTTGGCATATTTCATTGAAATAGTAGGGGGTTGACATAAAAGTTACTTACCTTACCGTTAACGATCACCTAAATCAAAACGTTTTAGATAGTTTTGATAGAACTAAGTTATCCATAATTTTTGATAATATCATAATGCTCTGTAGATTTGATATTAAGTATACCAATGCCAAATGTAGTATTTACCTAGTACACCTCCCCCAAGAACGTAGTGGTAGAACCCACTATGCAACATGGCCTCGTCGAAAGCTCTTCGTGCCGCTGGTCTCATAATATTCCGCCGTGTTCCACAGATCCAGTATCTTCTGCTTCAGACGTCGTATGGACATCACCACTGGACACCGCCGAAAGGTCAGAAGTCACTGTCTTTCATTCGTTTCCTCCGAGTTCCACAGAACAACGATATTCCATTGGTGACCACTACACTAGTCTATAACTACGTATCTGGCTATATATCACTTACATTTTGTACATGTGTACTACTGGTGCAACCATGGAACTAGAAGAGCTCTACATGTACAAGTCGTACAAAGCAGGCGGGTACGGGTTCTAGATTTTTCGTCGTCAAAATTTTTAGCCGTCAGGACGTCTTGGCGCCAAGAGGATAGCTCTAGCCCTAACAAAAGTGGCCGTATTCCTACTAATTTCTAGAAACAGTGATACCAACCACAGAACGTCTTTGAATGGTGATAACTTTGTTATGTAATCTTTTGATTGGTAGATTTATAAGACAATTGTACATATGACGGCGAACCGTCTTTATAATAGCGGCGAAAGGCCCTGGTTTATATCAGAAAAATAACACTTCGTTACCGCCACCACCCTTCTGCCGTGCAGGACACGTGGATCCAGGCGAGTCCGACCTGCAAACCGCGCTGCGGGAGACACAAGAGGAAGCCGGCCTCTCGGCAGAACACTTCCACATCATGGAGAACTTCAAGAAAGTCTTGGAGTACAACGTGAGGGGGAAACCCAAGACTGTGATCTACTGGCTGGCTGAGCTGAAGAACAGCGACACGCCTGTAGTGTTGTCAGACGAACACCAGAAGTACGAGTGGCTGGGATTGGAGGAGGCGTGTAGGTACTCTGGGTACGAGGACATGCAGGAGGCCCTCAGAGATGCGGACTCGTTCCTCAACTCTCCGAACACGTGACGATTCTCGGGATAATGTGCACTTTCACTTTCTCTTTTTGTTTTACTTTTTTTGGATCAACTATAGAAAAATGAGTCATGTCATTGTGAGACGGATACCGTACTATTAAATATGTATGTCTTTATTGGTTTTTTTTTCATACTATCATAGAACAACCAACAAAAAATTAAACAAACAATATCTAGAAAACCATAAAGTAACAATTACAAAGATAACAAGCAAATAAAATAAAAAGATAAATAATACGATTCGAGGTAGTTCGGGTGACCCACCTGAACTGATGAAGATGATGATGGAAACGTAAGCTACAGTATTTCCTTAGTCTAATCTCACGTGTAAATGTAACGTGACTTTTGGCATCTACTTGTATGGTACATGTAATTGTATGGCAGCAGTGTAGATGTCATGTTGATTTTATACACTTTTCACCAGTACATGGAGATAAGTACAGAAAAAATGCAGTAACCCATAACTAAATGTTGACACAAACAATCAAATAAAGTGCATGCATAAGTCAAACGATATAAGTGGTAAAATTTAGTCCAGATCGCTTGATGGTGATTAAACGTAAGGGCACAAAAGTTCGGGAATTGAAACCGTGTATTGTGTTGATAAATATCATAATAAAAATTACATATGCTACGTTAGTAGTAATAACAAGGACGTTCTACAAGATACTAGTAGATCGAATGTCCTTGGTTATAAGTAGCCTTTTGGGCATAGAGTACCAGCACCATTCGTAGCCAGAGGGATAACAGTACCTAGAGGGCAGTTACTATTATAGGCATGTGACGTAAACTCAAACAAAAAACAAGTTCTCTGGTTTCATGCCAAGAAACTTCGGCCAATCGTTGCAGTGATTGCCGTTTCATTGGGGTCACGTGCGTGCGCTGGCTGAACAATGGTCATATCAAAGGTCATATTGGACCTTTAAGTAGTTACCTGCGCCAAGGAGGAAGTAAAGTAAGTCGAGTTGTGTTGACGCCAGGAACTGTACTATCCTTAAGTGCAGAAGATCGTCTTGAAGTAAGATTACTTTGAACATCGTGTACACGACTACACCTAGACCGGCCGAAGCTTAGACACCTTAAGGTCGTGTTGCTAGCCCCAGAAGTCAAGACAAAGGTGGGTTTCATACTAGCTGTACACTGTACTTACTTGTGTACTTACCTTTGCATTTGTCTGTATGTCTCTGACACTGTCTAGTTACGATATCAGTCTTTCCAATTCAATTTTGTAACTGTATAGATCACTGCAGCAACTGCATACAATTTTACAATCCAGACGTTTTTGCAATTTTTACAATCGGTATGCGTGTGCTGAGTACTGCTTGTAACTCAACTACCTTACGAAAACACCACCATGCCCGTTGCCTAAGTGCCATAAATATCTTATGTAACTTGTTCCTTCATTAGGTTGGTGCCGGAACATACCAACAGAAGAACGAAGCTCTGCTACCTGTCTTCATAGATCTAACTCTTGCCGCTGTTACGGGACGGAACGGTGCCAACTTCCAACCACCTTCGACCCGTTGCGCTACCCCATACATGAACGTCGGGTTTGCAAGTATTTAACCAATTCAAAGAAATAAACTTCATGTGTAGCATTCAAAAACAATGGCGCCAAGGAAGGAAGGAAACTCGAAAGGGAACTATCATTTTGTAAGACGAGACGGGCAGCTGCTTCATGGAGAGGAGGCAGAAGAGGAGAGTGCGAACGTCTTCGCAGAAGAGGTGATAAAAGACATTAAGGACAAGCAAAGGGAGGAGAATAGACTGCTGCGTTTGAGACACCCAGCTTTTGGCAAAGACACTTCTTCTGCGTCTCAGGACACAGACGGCGTCTCTACTAGGCACTCAACAAAGGACGATGATGGCGAAGAGAAGAAAACATCCAGGAAGCCTAACATCAGCGCACACGCCGTCAGAAAGCGAGTTCTAAGTGCAGAGAAAGATACTGTTTCCAGCGAGGTGGACGACCAGGCGAAAGCGTTCGCCACGGGTCTTAACTTGACCGCGCTGACGGCTGATGTTGACATGGCTTCCCTGACGTTCTCGCCCCAAGCTACCGCTGCAGCTACCGGGCTTGAAGCTACAGTTTTAACCGCACAGGCTCACGGCGGAACCGTAGAGACCGACGTACAAGCAAAGGCCGACGTCAAAGGGGCGGAAGTTGTTGCAGGGAACGTGGACGTGAGGGCGGTAGACGAACATCTCTTCGTGGGGGGCGAGGCCCTGGTCAGCGGCGCGGATGTGAAGGTTGGAAACGCCAGCGTTGCCGCAGTCAAGATGGAACACAGGGCCGGCGCAACGTTTGAAGCAAAGGGTGTCGAGGTGAAAGCGATGAACGTGGATGCAGCAGGGGTGCGGCAGGAGCAAGACGTCGGGGTCCACGTGGGCGCGAAGGCCGTGGAAGTGTCCGCGCTGAACGCCCGGGTCAGTGGAGCAGAAAACAAAGTGGAAGCAAGAGCCGGCGTCGAGCTTGCCTTGCTGAAAGTCGGAGGGCTCAACCAAGAGAGCGACACTAAGAACCACGCACCAATGTTGGATTTAACGCTGCTGGACTTACGCGTGCCGGGTAAAGGCACAGGAGCGACGACCGTCAGGGCCGGAGGGGGTGCCGGTAGCTCCAGCAACAGCGGGACTGACAAGGGGTGTTCTAATGACGGAACGAACAAAAATGGGGAGATGCCAAAAACAATAGAAGGGCCAGTGGCAGGAGGAAACTGTGGCAATGCTACAGGTCTGGCTGCGGCTGGAACGAAGGCGCAGAGCAACAATGAAGGTCCTAATGTAAATGGCAACAACACGAAAGTTTCTCCAAAAGCTTCGGGAAATACCGAAACACTCGGTAATGGAACAAACACAGGAGGGAAATCTAAAACCACCTCCTCCACTGAAGAAAAACTAGGTACCGCTGAAGCCAAATCCAGCTTGAAAGCAAACGATGTGCAACTCAGACCAGTCGTCCCTAAAGGCAAAATAGCACCTCAAGCAATACACGTCATTCCAACTTCAGTCATCGATAAAACTCGACAAGACGGAGAAGACAAAACCAGTGGGCACAAAAATCGCGCAGGTGTAAGTCAGAACGATGTGTCAAGCCGTGTTCCACGGGTGGACGGCCTTGGTAGGACTCCTACTCTCCGACACACTGTCACTACTGGGGCTGCTGTAGCGAGAGGAAACATCGGTCATCAGAGGGGTGGACGTGGACGGACTGGCGGCAACTCACGGCTCCAGGGCCGGGCTGTCACCGAGGACGATGGCCTGACCTTGCGTGAACTCCACCAGCATGGCAGGCCTCGCCAGCTCCCCTCTATCACGCGGGATACCCCTCAGACTCAGTCTAGCAATCGTCGCGGTAAGATGAGACTTGACGGAGATCGTTTGAAAGAGAAAAGCAATCACGACGACGCCAGTGCGAGGCACTCTGCACGTGAAAAACAACGTTTGCCCGATCAACGCACGACAAAACCCCTGACAGCAAACAGAGGTAGACGTACCCCTGCCTCTTCCCAACCGAAACTCCCCCAAACCACAGTAAAGCAGACCCGAGAACGTGTGAACCGGGCACAGACCACCACAAGTAGGGGTCAAACTAATGGTATACACGCTCGCCTTGACAAAATACGAACGCCAGCCAGACGAACCCCAGGAAATGATGCAAGGAAAGGCGTTTCTAAGTCCGCCGCGAAAGGCAAACGTAACCCAGAGAACTCAGCAGCCAGGGAAAAACTACCCCCTCTAACCTTCAACGACAGGGTGCTGAATAAAGTAACCAGTGAAGCAGGCCCAATGCCGGCGAGGTCTCAACCTCCCAGACCCACATCTAGGAGGAGGTCGGCGTCCAAGTTCCAAACGCTCGACAGAGAAGCTTTGCGTAACAGACTGCTTCAGAAATACGCACCGCCACCAAGTACAGCTGCGTTTGACAAGACTGGAACAACATCTAGTAAACAGGAAGACAAGGCCGAAGAGACAGTCGTGGTGAAGAAAAAGCCGACGGGTTTGAACAAGAACAT